CAACACGTTTTCACAAAGAACAGATTTCATAGAACAACTGCACTTCGGCTGCCTTACTATCATTTATAATGGATTAACAGTTGGAAACACCTTTAACCAGCAAATTTTGTATTTATGTTTGAAAAATCAAATTGGGGACACCATGTATGTAAACATAAAAGCATATATAGAACAGGCTACTCTAAACAGACATTGTTTTGCAGCATTAGGCTTTTATTATGATTTTTTTATATTTTTGGGTAGACTGCACTAGCTTCTATGATCCATACAGCCATTATAAGTTGAGACATCAAAAAATTGGCAGCATCTCCTACATAGCGTGTTGAAACTAAGTCTAGAAGCATCAGTGGGTCCAAATAGCATTCTATTCTAGAGGCTATAAATGGAATCACAGATAGAAAAACACGATTTCTTTTTGACAGTTCCTCTCTGCAGTTGTCTTTTTTAACCTTTAACTCATTTAGCTTATTTAATCTATTTTTTTCTATCAGACGTGAGGAAGGAATCTGACTACAAATAGGTGACTATTAATATTGCATTAGAAAAAAATATTGCACTATTAAAACGAAAGCACAGTTATACATTCAAGACACATTTCAAACCGACATCCTAGCCTGACAGCCTTTCAAGAATCCTGCACTGCTCACACATCTCAAAAGATTCTTCAACAACAGGGTTGAGTTTAAGCTTATATGTCAGGGCACAATGCAGCTCTTGTTTATCTCCATATGGAGGTGCATACACAGACTTCTCAAAAAGTAAAGAAAGCAAAGCCTTTAAAGGAAAAAGTCAAGAGCCCCCCTTTTGACAGAAGCAGCCTATTTCAACAGCTGATTCCCTCCTTTAAAGTATATGGCACACATAAAATAAATACAGATCGCAAAAATTAACAAATCATCATAACTGTCTAATACATCCTGGGCTGGCTGCGGAAAAACAAGATCATTTTGGATTTATATCTGTAAGTATGGGATTTCCTGGACAGCTAATATCCACAAACAATCAAAGGCAGAGGCCCATGAGAAAAAAAGAAGCATTATTTCAAATTTGAGCTGAGAGTCGTGATTTTTAAAGGGCTGAACAGGAACTGGAGTTGAAATCTGAAGCAAGAAAATTCCTTTACTAGGTACTGATGGACACTCTGCTGTGTTTCTTTTGGCCTTGTCAAAAGTTTTTAGGTCATTGGGCTTTGGATATTACAGCAAATTAAAATCTTACAAGTTCAGAAACTTTGAAAAT